ATATTGATAAGTGTCCAAATCCCTACCAGCAAATTTTAAAGAGGGAAACTGAACATGAAACATAGTGAAAGGTTAGGAAATGATATTTTATCTGGGAAGAGTACTACAGACCCATAATAGATTTGGAGATGGGATTCTGAAACCAAGATCTGCTACAATGGCAAGTCTTTTAAAATTCTGGCCTCCACAAAGAGGACAGCTGCTTCTCCAAAACCTCTGTGAAGGCTGCCCACGCTGGCTGTAGTCCATCTGTCACGGGAAATTCAGTGAAATATTCCTCGCTGAATTCAAACCTAGATTTTTCACTATTGCTTCAGGGGTCTACCTATTCCTTAAACTTCCCCATCTTCCTATAAAGTACATAACCGCCACTCAACTCTATATACAAACACCCAGAGTTCTTTAATTTTCCCTTTTCACCAAGTTACACGAAGAATCACAGAATTAAAAGTTAGAACTATTTCACTTAATACAGAGCAAAAATATTTACCACTATTCTTTCTAAAGTCATATGTGCAGAAACTACAAATGAAAATGAGTTGCCTAATATCCACAACCTATAAATTATATTATGTATCAAAAGTAATAACATATGATCATACTTAAGTTTGCATATTTAAATTCCATCAGACCAAATAGTTTTTTGACTCTTCCAATTCATCTAATTAATGTTAATCATTAGTTTAGACATTCAAAAGAAAATCCCATAACAGTTCCTAAAATGCATGCTAATGTATTTAGAGGTGAAGTGTCATATCAGCTACTTACTCTCAAGTGGGATAGTAAAAATAAAATAAAATAAAATAAATAAAATAAAACAAGCCTGTGTGTGATGTATATACATGTAGCATATGTGTGCACAGATACAGAGATAAAGCAAACCCAGAAAATGTTAATAATTGGTGAATCTAGGTAATAGACATATGGGTATCTTTGTTTTTAATGTTTTCAATGTTGTTTCAACTTCTCCATAGGTTTGAAAATTTCCAAAGTTCCCCAAAACAGTAAGAAATGACTTAAGATGAACTTAATTTTCCTTTCAAATATTCAACAGACAATTATGTCCATAAGTTGTAACT